TATTCATGCAAGCAACTCGAACCGAGCAAACCATCGACGTACGTCCCTCTAACGGCATCCGCGAGATAAGCGCTTCTGAACGTCTCTAGCCGCAGTTGTTGGGTAGCGCGTCGCTGATCCGCTATTGAGATACTCAACCCTCAGGTATCTGTTGCGTTCGTCTCTTCTCCGCGCCGTGGTTTACTGTCTTATTGGGTTGGGTGTTGTTGAACTGTAACGAGTATTTAACGCCGACGCCCTCGCTGCTGGGGAGGGTGGTCATAGTACATGTGTTACCGCGTAAATTATGCTATAGACTGGGAATGCATATAAATTACCATTACGTGCGCTGTCCTGCCCGAGTGGCAAGCTCGAGCAGGTCAGACAGAGCCATCGCTTGCGAGCCGGAGTGGTGCGGAGTCACTGCAGACGCTAGTTGTGTTTGTAGATCTGCGCTAGGAGATGCGATGATACGTGCCGTGAAGCTTGAAGTGATTCGACCGTACCATACTCGACTTCACGTGAAAATATGGGCAAGCAGTCTCCTCAATCGAGCCCGGCGTGCATGAAAGAAGACGCGAGAGGGACAAATGAAGCCAGGACAAAGGTTGTCGGAGCTTGAGATCAGATGGCCAGAGTATATGGTAAGTAGCCATGACTCACTTGAGCGGAATTTTCGTACAGGGAGTATATTGGAAAACATGGACGGCAAGGTGGCTTACTTTGTAACTATTTGCCTATCGTGGCTGCCTTGCATTCTACGATGTCATCATGTCGAGGCCACGCCGACCTCGCTCGCAGACATCGCGTTTTGACTTTGATGCTCGTTCTACGCGTTACTTAGACTCCCCACGGAGTGGTCTTCCAGGAGAAGAGCGTTCGTCCGTACCTGCACGTCGTTATCGAATATCAGCAAAGTCTGGCTCTTCTCTCTCCTGGCTTCGAACTTCGTCAGCATTGGCAGCATGGAAGGGGGCGAGATCAAGCTGATCAAGGAGTGTACTTCCGTATCATTCGATCTGGACGCTTCACGAGGTCGCCGAAGCATGCAGTTTGCAGCGTCGTTCGATCGCTATCTCGATGGAATGTACGTTGCCCTATATTGCCCTTCCAATCCTATCGCAATGGTTTCGTCGGAGCAAGATAGTTGTGCGTCGCCAATCGAGCTGCCTGTGGACCATACGATTCTCGGGTGTCCCGGCGTCGTAGGTAGCCATCCGTCATGGATCGAACTGGTTCTGAATACCCGTCCGCGGCTCTCCCGTGTCCTCTGATGATGTCTACCCATCAATGCCGAGATCGACGTGGTGGGTGGATGCCATCAGGGACACTTCACAGAGCTCTGTGATTGTCGGACGTCGTGGAATTCGGCACGCACGACGTAGTTTTGTAGTAATGCATCCGTCCCCACGATAGTCGCCAGTCACGCAAAATTTTATCAGAGGCTGGTTTCTGAGCGTGCAGGTGAAGACTGATATTTCTGTCCGCATTCTAACGCGGTACCCAGAGATAACCACTTTCCCGCCTACAAGTGGACTTACTATTGGAATAAGAAAAAGAGAATGCTACCCCGTCGGCACCCCGGCCTACAAATAAGTACGACTTCACGACTTCAGATCTTTAGTTCTCGCTTGCCGCACCCTCCTCTGGCGCTTCGGACGCGCTGTCATCACCATTTCCCTCGCCGTCAGCATCCCAATGAATTCCCCTTCGTGCCTCTCTGTCGTCGTCCTCATCATCAGCATCGTAATCGCTTTCGTCCGCCCCTTTTTCCCTCTTTCCCCCCGCATCGTCTCCCGGGAAGACGTACCATTGTACGTCATCCTCATGAGAGACATCGTTCTTCTCCAGGCTGTCCCACTTGACAACCTCGAAGATATCACGGAGGACTTCAATATCTGTCGCCGAGATGTTGATGCCCGCAGTAATGGTAAGTCTTATGTGTGTGTTTGGACAATCCAAACCCTGATAGGGCTTAAGGACCCGATCGAGGAAGTCGACGACGCTCAAGATCCTCCTCCAAGGATCCCGAAACCATACTGACTCCAGGCGCAGCGATTCCAGTTTCGGAAACAAGGGATTCGTCGGTTCACCCGATCTATCAAGAGCATACAGGCCGGCAGGTAGAGCTGACGTATACCTGCCCGAGACGCAGAGCTCGGTCACCCCCGGCATTAGGCTGAAGAGTTGCCGCCAAGCCATGACTGATTGCTCCACATACGCGCGACCGTCTTCTATGGTCAAGCGTTCGACTGTGGACAAGTATGGTTGCAGTCTCGGGCGCAACACATCCAGGATCCAGGCCTCTTCATCGTAGTCGTAGCCTTCGAACACGAGACAGAGCCCAGCAGTCTGTGATTGCCATGTCGTAGTGGTCAGATCTGGAGTCAGCATGCAACAGATGCTGGTGGGGCTCGGGTTATACATGGTGCAGCCGCAGAGCACCTGGGTCGACCCAATCCCGTCGATAACGCCATGCATGCATGCTACGATCTCCTCCAAATAGGCAAAGTTGTGGACCTGCACATAGGCATGCTCTAGCTGCGGCATGACCATGTCGCGCAGCAGTTTCGCATGACGAAGGCGAGGAATATCAATATATAAGGTCCGCAGGGAGGGCAGTGGGACCTTGTCGAGTTGGATCACGGTGCCGGGGTTGATTGGTGTACGTCCAAGGGCTTGAGGACCATGAGGTTGGGTAGACCACGTAAGACCTGCCGTATATCCAGCGTCGTCATAGCCGTTCTGACATCGATGATACTCAGTTCCGTCAATGCTGGCGTGAAGAGCATCCTGAAGTCATTCAGGCTGTCCATGCCACTCAGCTGTAGACGCCGCAGGACCGGGGACGTGAAGGGAGTCAGGTTCGTTGCTCCGACAGCACCCGTGACCTTAATTTCCAGGTGCTCCAAGATGGGCATAGTACCATGTGCTTGACCGACGACGTTACCCAGGACCTGCGAAGAGACCGAGATGGACAAAGACCGTAACCGAGAGCCGACGCCCATGACCAAGCTTAACTTGTCCTCGTTGTTCTTCTGGAGATCGCCAGTATGGTCTTTCTCCAGTGACCCGGTGATGGACAAGGGAGCGCGACGTGAACGGTCAATGAGATCCCGCAGACTATCCGCAGTTTCGATGAAGATACTGGTCCAGTATTTGGCATTGTTGACCAGTTGGTCCCGCCATCGCCCGCAAACATGTGTCAAGGAGACGACCCCGGCCTGTCGAGTATGAGGATCGGAAGTTGTGGCTTCGAGGTCGGTGACGAATTCATCTGCCACTTGGGCGATAAGCTCCGGCGGCATGGAGCTGAAGGTTGGTTCATTCATTAGAGCTCGAATGGCACTGTGGTTGCGATGTGGTATGAGCGACATCTGTGGCGCGCAACAATGAACAAGTACGCCGACGTACCTTCGCTAATTGTTGTTCTTGTTTTAGGACTATGACTTGGTAACAGGAGGGGTCACTGAAGCGGGGCGCGCAAGGTTTCAGTGTGGTTGGGAGGAACATTCGAACTTCGACAAGAGTGCCTTTTATGTGCACGTGCTTGCCGGTCTTCGCGCGCTTACCGCGCCAGTCCCATTGTTCTCGCTATGCAGTGTAGGCAATCTTCGTCAGCGTTAACAGCCCCCAAGCTAAGTTTCGAGCAACCTTGAGCTTCAATTTCAGCTCTCTCAACCTGGGCGCTGAGGTGTTGACTCCCTTCGTCGAGGTGCTCGTAATATGCCTTCACATCTTGAACCCGTCGGATTCTAGGCATAAATTGCGCCTCTTCTAACTCAATGTCGTCAGCTTTTGTGCCAGTATGGAGTCCTTAATAGACGCACTTTCGTGGTGATTTGCCTCAACGTACCAAAAAATTTACCATTCTCCATCTATCCGTCGCCTCTGTGACAGCGCGTAAGCCGCGAAAGTGGATAACCCGAGGATCGCCATGACGCCGGACGCCCGTTTGAAGGACACCCAGGGGCTCCCACCTCCCAGGATCGAGACATCATTACCAGGTTGGCTCAGCTCCGAGTCTCTGACGAATGTGCCCCCCCAGTCGTAGCGGATCTTACTCAGGTGACTCGCAGGTGAATATCTTCGTACAAGCCTGGTATATCTAGCTGATAGTTGATTGCACATTGATAGATGCACCTCAAATGTCCGGTGCTGGGGCGCCTGCCGGGCAGGAAGGGCGGCCCACTGCAGCCGCATCTCGTCAGCTGATAATATCATTCTGTCCAACACCCAGACAACTGAATGGTTTGGAGACGATATTACCGGCCAAGGGCTTGCTTGTGAAATAGAATTGGACCGGATCCGATTGTGCCGCCACGATACCGTCCTTCCTCGTGGTCGTATCGCCTAGGATGTTACACTTGAGAGTCCGTGCATTGCTTTGGTTCGGAATATGACATTTTCTGCGATTATGCTTGACAGTTCCTAAGCATTATGCGTATATTAGTATAGTTCAATATTCTTATTTTTGTACGGGTATTGACAGTGATCGCCATGGCTTCTATATGACCTGCAGAACCTGGAGTTCACGGTGGTGCCGTGAGAACCACACAGTCTGACATACATACTTGGGGGGAGTGGGCCAATGCTGTGCATGGCTGGTTACGAGTCCTGAGCTGGGCATAAGATATTCCTTATTTTACATTGTATATCATAGAGCTGACACAAATATTCCTATCTTTCTTGAAGTATTATTTGAATTTCACTAGACCTCTCAAGATCATCTTGTATATTCCTTGATTTGCTATAGAGCTCTGAATATATTATGGATTTCCCACATTATTCACAAATTTTCTGGCCCTTCTACAGCCTGCAATCAATTCCAGATACGAATGATGTAATGGCTCTGCAGATCGGGTGAACCTGCAGAGAGCCTATGTCATAGAAGGCAGGAGCCAATCAGAGTCCAGGAATCCAAACCGACGCGGCCCGCACACTCAGCCACTGACTACAAGCCACTACAACAGTCAATTCCCACGATAAGCAATAAAAGTAAAACCGCCATGCGGACTACGACAAGACACACAATCGATAAATTCACGAAGATATTGTTGTAGACCCGTATAGCATACGCCCCAGACTAAAGAAAATAAAAGAGGGATAAGACGAAGAATTGAGCCCGCGAATGAGCAAACAATGGTCCCAGAGACTACAAAAATGCGCCAAAAGTGGTTTTGTAGTCTCACATACAACCGGACGTCCAATCGGAGTTTCATAAATGTAGTCTGCAATACAAAACATAACTCCCACGACGTCTCGGCACAAACGGTTCTCACGGGGTACAACGTTCGGCACGCAGGCATATTTTGCGCGTAAGGACTCGACCTTCGTACCTCAGGACTCGTAAACGATTTCGACATGTGCCACTGCTGACAGTGTCTCAAGTATATGCGATTGGATCATCAGACGTTATATAAAGTCTAGATGTGACTCCTTAGAGTAACTTGATGCTCGCGTCTCGACAAGTCGCTCCTTGTAATGGTCAAGTCCATTCCATGCTTACGTAATATATTATAATAGTCTAGATAGTCGCGTCGCTGTAGTTAGTAGGACTTTGTCTTGCCAACGCCAGTAATACGACACCTTTCCATTCATTCCTGTCCGTCTGCGCCTCGTTCCTCGCGCGTTCTGTTCCTAGGTGTTCGGGCGCGGTCCTCGCAACCGCCGTGCCCTTTACACTCCTCCCCCTAGTCAAACAAGATGGTAACCTTCACGAACTTTATATACCTGGCGTTCGTGCTGTTCTGGCCATGCAGAGGGCCTGTCATGGCGTCTTCTTCAGTCGTTCGTCCATTCCTGGAGGTGCCAGGTCTTACTGAGATCCGGGTATGGAGTTAGACAGTGTAATAACTCGTATTATCACCTGACGTTGGCCCTTCGACAGAACATTCTGGCTCAGCTTGAGGCCCCCATCGTTAGGTAAGGCTACCCTAGTAATGTGCCTCGTAATGTGGATTCTCATGACTCGCCTAGCGCTCTTACCGAACGCATGAATTTACCGACCGATCCATCTCTCTATTCCGACGGCGGAGCGAAACTACTGTCATTCATGTCTGTACGGGAGAGTATCGCAGCTGCAAGTGGACGCTACGACTACGGAAGACTCGAATATCCTTTCACGTTACCTTTGATTGCACAGGACATCACGACCCCGTCTAACTCGTTTCCTCCGGGACGGTTCCACCAAGACACTTACTCGGGCAACGCAAACATTACCAGTTTCTACCTGAACACACTCGTTCCTTTCTTCAACTCTTCAACATCGTTCTTCTATCACCTGGATAATTCAACCTTCAATCCTGACGCGACGTTCAACCTCGATGCCACTCTGTTAGCGCTCCTTTCGCACCGGTGAGAACTCACATCTTACCATGACTCCAGCGGGATTAATAAACTAACGGCTTCGTAAGCGCTCACATAGGCAAGGTAGTGGCCGAAACCAAATTTGCGTCCAACGTGAGCGCCATCACCCAGATGATCCAGACGAACGACACCAGTGCCATACTCGCTGCGGTCACAAACACAACGCAGGAAGCTGGTGTATACGCACAGGCCTCTGCCGCTGCGATGGCCTTCTCGAATGCATGGCTGAACTCAGGTGCATTGGAGCTTACCAGCTTTAACACCACCTTGCAGTCGGCAACGTACGCGCTGTTCCAGGAGCTCATCGCGATCACGACGGAGATTGAGGTACAATATGTGAGATATCATCCATCTATCATCAGAAAGTAGGATTGCTCACTTGGCGTGGCAGTTACTCCAAAGGTTGGACTAATCATCTGTCGTGAATGGACTATCAAGAAATATGGAGACAAGATAGGTAGTGAATCATTCAGCTGGGACGATTTTGTGGCGTCGTCAAACAGGGTGTCATCGGATAGTAGAAGCAGTCAGCGTACTTACTTCGACCGATTTCAACATTTTCCGAGCCGAGGCCATGTCTGCTCGGACATATGACCCCACAGAGGCAACGGGGTGCATGTACATAGTTCCTAACGGTAAACTTACGGTCGGCAGATGCTCTGTTTGGGGTGTGTCAGAGCGTGCGGCGACGCAGGATGCAGCATCAGTACGATATGAAAATCCGTCATCCTTGAAACGATGACACAGGGATTTGCCTGGACTTAGGACTAACTTTGGCATTGTAACCAGCGCGTGGTCATGCGACATGTCTCCTGTTCGCATGATTTACCACACCAGTGACCTTCGTCTACGCCAATTCGGAGGCTAGGTTTTAGTATTTGCGCATCGAGTAATATAAGTAGCCTTGCGCGAACAGTCTCGAGTTGAACAAAGCTTCCACCTAGAAATAGGTCATAACAGCGGAATCTGACTGCGCAATTAGGGCACCGTATCGTGAACAAGGAAGTCATATATTAGCCTCCGTATAGTAAAGATCTTGAGTCTAAGTTGTGGCGTTGTGGCTTTAGGTAAAGTTGTGACGGTACGACGTGACTGCCACAAACGCGTACGGGATTCTCCGAACGAACTTTACTTGCGCATTCTCATCCTATCTCTCATCTTACCGCCATCGCCCCCCATCTATCGTGAGTAACGACGGGAAAGAGGGTCAGATGGACAGCAAAGCACGAAGACACCTCCTCCTTGCGATCTGTCTCGCTGTATGCCACGAACAAC